CTTTAAAATTATGTTTCATTGCTAATAGGTGTTTAGACTAGTTGAATTTTAATCCAACAAATATGAACAACATCTTCAACGGCAAAGAATCGATGTACAACTCTAATCCAAACTGGGTATTTGCCACTTCTCTACTAACGAGCAACATTTTGTAATTGAGGGATATGAAAAATTAAAGGGAACTGCAAGTGTATTGTGGAAATTAAAATGGTAAAAAGAGTCTTAGCTACATTTTCCCCTTTCTGTAATCTAATTCCTTTTAAAATCATTTTAATAAATAAAACTGCCATCTTTACAATAGCATGTTAGCTTTTGTTGTTAAAAAAAATTGAGGTCAAATTGAAACAGGTATTCTTTGTTAGATTAGCAGATATAGCTCAGAAATCTGAGCAACTGATGAGCTAGCCGTTTTCTTTGTTTGTTAGTTCTTTGCTGAAGTGTGAAAAGACATAACTCAGGATGTATGTTTTAGATTTAAAAAAAAAAAGTCTTGGAAATTGGAAGTCTGATATACAGTGTTTTGGGAATAGTTAACATTTATTGGCCAGACTATTGAGATAATAGTACCACAGCTGTAGGATTGCAAGGGTGGGGAGTTAGCCCTGGGGAAAAAAGAACTATTTTTCTTCAACATAAGCAACATTAGCGCCAGATCCAAAGCCCATGGAAATCAACAAGACTTGACTTTGCATTGACTTTGGAGTCAAGCTCTCTTTGTTTAGGAGACATTTTATACAAGAGCAGCATTCTCATGACTAGCTGAATATACATTTTTAGTAATTTTGTAAAATTTGGAAAAAGTATTGCAGTATAGTAAGCTGAACTGCATCATCACATGCTTCTTTAGAGCTCTCATTTCACAGGAGATTTACACGAATGACCTGAATAACTAGTTTTACACAGTTCAGGTAGCTGTCAGTTTTCATACTTCTGTACTGTTACTCAGTGCCAAACCCAGGGACAGTACATATTAATAATGGCCAACCACACAAAAACTATTTTAAGTGCTGAGCCAAATTCTTCCCACACTTTACACTTGAGGAACTAGAGGTGGAGGATCCAGGTGGCGAGATGGGGCTAGTACCCTCGCAATCAAAATATTGGGGGAGCAGACAATGTGTGTTTCAACCACCACCACCCCCAGGTTTTTTGCCCTCACACTACCTCACAGAGGTGAGAGTGGGACCCAGAGGAAGGGCTGGAGCGGCCATGGTGGCAGCACACAAGATCAGGATGGCAGGAAATAAAACCTCTGCTCTACCCACCTTCCAGACACTCTGGCAAGACACTGGATCAGGGAGGGGCAGGAGCATGTGCACCGGCCGCCAGGGCGGGGGACAAGGCTCTAGCACCTGATCAAGTCTCAGTAGCTCCCTTCATTCCCCTTCCTACCCATCCCTCCCCCATTCACAGCAAGCTTCCACCTGCTGTGTGGAGCCTCCATACAATCCTGACTAGGTCCCATGTAAATTTATCAAAACCTGCCATGTTACTGGATGTAGCCGGAACAACTAGTGCCTGAAGCACTTAAAGTTTGTTCTTGAACCACAGACAGAACTGAAAAGTATTCTCAAACCAGACTGTCTATAACCCTGATAAACAGCAAGGCAATTCTTTGCACTTTTATATTGGAAAAATGTACGTCTCAAAGCACTTTACAAAAATGGATAAGCATTAATATGTCCAGTATCAGGGGGTAGCCGTGCTAGTCTGTATCCACAAAAAAACAACAAGGAGTCCGGTGGCACCTTAAAGGCTAAGATTTATTTGGGCATAAGCTTCCGTGGGTAAAAAACCATTTCTTCAGATCCATGGAGTGAAAATTACAGATGCAGGCATTATATAATGACACATGAAGCAAAGGGAGTTACCTCACAAGTGGAGAACCAGTCCCTATTCAAGCCCAAAATTTGCTGGACTGGGAGTGGCTGGCTCATTACAAAAGCAGCTTTACCTCTCCTGGAATTGACACCTCCTCATCTATTATTGGGAGTGGACTACATCCACCCTGATCGAATTGGCCCTGTCAACACTGGTTCTCCACTTGTGAGGTAACTCCCTTTGCTTCATGTGTCATTATATAATGCCTGCATCTGTAATTTTCACTCCATGCATCTGAAGAAGTGGGGTTTTACCCACGAAAGCTTATGCCCAAATAAATCTGTTAGTCTTTAAGGTGCCACCGGACTCCTTGTCATTAATATGTCCATTTTCCAGATGGAGAAATTGAGAAACAGAGCTGTTAAATGATTTGCTCAAGGTCACTCAATATGCCAGTGACAGAACTGGGAATAAAATCAAAGTATCTTCACTCCCAAGCCTGTGTTTATTTCACTAGACCTGCATTTCCTAAATTGTGGATTGTGACCCCCTAGGGTTTCACAAGACCATTTTGCTTTGACCCACAAAACCCCCTGTCCTGAGCGAAGTAACTGCTGTCCCACAGAGCTGAGTAAGCTCGGCTCCCAACTGCAGGCATTAGAACCTAGCCCCAGGTGCATGGAGTCGCAGAGCCACTCAGGTTTGGGCTGGCCCTTCTGATGCGGGGGGCGCGGCGAAGGGAAATGAACAGGCCAGATCTGAGTGGCCAGAGGCCAGGTTGCAATGCCCAGAGCAGGGAGCTGAGCCCAGCCAGCCCTTCAGGACAAGAGCCACAAAAGCACCACTGAGCGTGAACGCAAAGTGGGCTCAGTCTGCAATTCCCCCACTCCCCTGGGCCTCCCAGAACTTGGAACTTTCATTCCACCCAGGCCCAATGGGCATTGCAGCATGAAAAAGTTCGGGAACCACTGCTAAAGCAGCTGTGGCATAGTGCATTATTTGTAACATGGTTCAATCCTGTCTACGCTACAAAAGTGAACTGAAGTGTATCTGTGAGAGGCCCTACTACGGTATAACTATATCCATGACAGTGGGTTTTGATAATATAGATGGAATCTTCAGCCCACAAACACTATGAAAACATAGAATTGGGGGCTTGATTCACCTCTTACGAGATAAGCCTGAAGTAACTTCACTGGCGTAAACTGAGATGCATTGGTGTAAGAATGGGTGGAGAATCAGGCACACTGGTGAAGTCACCTTGTATTTACGTAGGCTTGTGGAAGAATAAACTCAAGTCTTCGCTCTTAGGTTGGTTGCAACATGTCAGAGGTAGTTTATTCTCAAGCAATTGCAAAAGGGGGAGAGTACACAATGGCAGGTCTCCCAAAAGATAAACAATTAAGGCTAGCATTTATACCTTTTGTTACATCCAGTAATGATCAACAACTGCATTTTGTTTATACATATTCCTTCCTGATATCTTACTTTTCTCAGCAGTTCTTGCTATAGTCTGCGTTCCATTCTTATCTAACACAAGGTCAAAGCAACCTCTCTTACAGTTCTTTTCCACTCACCCAGGCCCTGCCTGGAAGTCTCGCGTTATTAGCCTGACTCTTGCTCTTCCTAGAAGAATAAGATGTCTGCGCTTTTTTCCACTTCCACACTCCCCCGTGTTGTGTTTCCAGCACAACTATCAATCTTAAACCTCCATTTTCATTAAACCTTGTATTGCAGACTCTGCATCAGATGCTTCAACCTCATGGGTTTTGATTGGACGCAATGACAATGCATGGTTAGTATGGACATGAAAACTGTTATTATTACGTCTTTTACAACAACAACATAATCCTAAACTAAACAACAATAAAAGCAGTAATATTCCCTTGGTAATAATATGATGGGGTTGTTATACAGTTTTAGTCACAAAGCACAGTACATCATTCTTAGTACATAAATAAAGAATTATACACTGGCAGGAACCAAAAAAAAAGCCAATGTTATGTGGTAACCAGGGTAAGCCAATGTGTGGCTTAGGTCAGACCTATGTGAGTTGAGGGGTTGTGGTGACGCCCTCAGATTAGAACACAGGTGTATTCAGTCCGGACGGAGGAGTTGTGGTGATGCCCTCAGGGTTAAAAAAAAGACAACCAAAAACAAAATAAAAAACTGATGCATTGTGGTATGAAGGAACAGAGGCCTTGGGTGTGAGAGAGGGTGAATGAGGGTCACAGGAAGACACCCAGAGCTCTCTGCGAAGCCCACAAGCTCGTGACTGGAGATGTCTCTAATGCAAGCCCTGTGACCGCACCTAATGGACTAGTAAAAGGTCCTGACCAAGGCAGGCTGACTGCATGGCATGACTGGGAAGGGGCCTGTCTGAGTCTAGGGTTGTGTGACCCTATCCTTTTCCTGTCCTCGGACAGTCCATGTCCGTTTTCTTGACATCTTTCCTCCCTCTCTCCTCCCCACCTGAAGGCAGGTTATGAGCCACTGACTGGTCTGACCATCTCACCGAAAGAAATCGGAGTAAGTGGTGTTGTTCTCTCTGAGACAAGATGACGCTCTTTGCAAAAGGGGGGGTAGGAAGGTCGTGGACATCCTCGATAAACCTTTCCTGTGTAAGTGACCCGAGTGGAAAATAGGAGGTGGTGTGATAATTTTAGCTTCATGAGCCGCTACCTCAGCAGACAGGGCACTCCTGTGTGATTGGAAAATGGGTGGGGGTCAGTTTAAGACTGTTCCTGTGCCACTGAAGGGCACACCTGCTTATTATATGTATGTGTATTATAGTTCTAGGATTTGTAGGGATTTAGAAAATTGGAATTTTTACACACATGATGATCCATCTAAACAATTCCCACTAGAAGGTACCTTCGATTTAGATAAAATCATACACCGCAGAGAAAGGGACTCCATGAGTCTCGAGTGTGGAGTCTGAAGGACTCCCAGGCAAAATTAAAACTCAAATGCAGGATTTAAAATGAAATGTAAAGCATCTGGATGCCTCCCTACCCAAACTATTTTGTTAACCCCTTCGACTTCTTTATATTCCCAATAAGTTAAGGCTGAAGTCAAGGAGAGAAAGGAATGGGTTAATTTGAAAAGTTAGCTTGGCCTAGAGATAAGGAGAAAGCTGCTTTGCGTTCAAGGTCAAGAATCGACACAGACCATGCCAAGCACAAAAACACTGCTTTCAGCCCCAGCTGGCTGTGAAGAAAATATAGACAGAGGTAAAACAAAGGCAAATAAGTTGCAGGACTGAGATTACATTTGCGAAGGTTGGCCACCTGGTGAGACCCAACAGTCTGCTTTGCAACCCTGGACCCGGTGTGGTTTGGGGATGCTGAAGAAGCCACAGGCAGCCGGCCTGGACTGAAATACCTCCCAAGAGCAGAAGCAAGTTGGAAATTTTTACAGCGTATCTCTGGACAGTCTGTGCACAGAATAACCTCCCATCCGTCTCTCTCTGTCTCTCCTACCCCCCGGGCCTGGCAAGCCCAGGAAGCATGTTTGTGAGTATAAAAGGGGGTCAGGGTTTAACATTAACGTTTTTTCTTCCCTTGAGTGATGAGGGAGCATTCCCAATATTCTTTGCTGTTATTTCATTAATTAATGCTTTAAATTCAGTCACATGGTGTGTTGTCTTCATCTCCGCCCTACGATCCTGTGGTCTTAGCCTGATCAACTAAGGCACAGGCAGATTGGTAATGAAAATCTGTCACAGTTTTAGTGGAAAATTGAGGAGTGGGAGAACCCTGCAGAGTGCATACCATCTATCTATTTTGCCCTTGATATTTCACATTTGCTTTGTTTGGCACAGTTGGTATTACATGTTAAGAATTGCATGATTAAAGGTGAGCCCCACTCTCAGCCACAGTAGGTCTGAGAACCAGATAAGGGTTTAGCATTCTTCTCTCCACCCCAGTCGGTGGTGATAGAGTGCAAATGGGTGTACTCCTGGTTGTAGAAGTCCAGGATTATGGAGGGGAGGACTCGGGGAGTCTCGCTCCATGCATATAATCCTTGGTGCATACGACCTTAGCCGTAGCATGCCTGGGGTACAAATAGGAGTTGGGGATAAGGAAAGATGTGTAACTGACAGCTAGAATTGAGCAATTAAAAGCATAGATTATGAACAGGCAGCAACTCAAACCTACACCCAGGACAAGTTGCAAGCCTTGAGACAGGACTTCCAGGCAGAAAAAGCAGAACACACCCACCTGGAAGTACTGACTAAGTACCAGTCCTTCAGAGACTTGTCAAAATTTAACCATTTGTGCTCAGCATACGCTGTAACATTGTAAGGAGAGTGATCACTTTATATAAGCTATTACCAGCAGGAGAGTGGGGTGGGGGGAGAGAAAACCTTTTGTAGTGATAAACACCCATTTTTTCCATGATTTGTGTGTATAAAAACATCTTCTGTATTTTCCACAGTATGTATCCGATGAAGTGAGCTATAGCTCACGAAAGCTTATGCTCAAATAAATTGGTTTGTCTCTAATGTGCCACAAGTCCTCCTTTTCTTTTTGCGAATACAGACTAACACGGCTGTTACTCTGAAACCTGTAACAGCAGTGTGTCTGCCATAAGAGGAAACTGAATAGTTAAAACGCCAATTGGCCGTGCGTTCTGTCCAGGTGACAAGCCTCACGGGGTAGGACTCGGGTAGCCCTAGTGACTGAGAATGCTTAAAAGAAGAGACTTGGAGGGGTGGGGGCTAGTTGAGAAGTCCACCCTCCTTGCTAATTGGTAGTGGGACAAGTTGGTGCCCATGGAAAGAACCGATCAGCAAGAAAAAAAAAAGGATCAGGCCCAGGCAGGCAACAGATAGAGAGATTTGGAAACTCTGAGGGCATGGTGGAAACAGGAAAGAAAGAGAGGGTTTAAGTGCAGCCATTTTAATTTGTTAGAAACAGAGCAACTGTTGTGCTAAGTCTTAGCCTAATAGCGTGGGACCTGTAGAAGCAGGGCTCAAGTCAGAAGCAGGTGGGAAAACAGCAGCGCAGAGTCAGTGTGACCTTGCCTTGAGATAACAATGTTTTGAGAAGTGAAAGTGAGAAAATGCTGGATTAGACAGGATATAATATAAACAAAATGTGCATGTTTTCAATTAATGCATGCCACAGAAAAGTATAAATGCTTGTGTGATATTGCTTGTATTTTGGAGAAACTGAGACAGCTCTCTGTCAGCTGTATTCTTCCCTTAATTACTCGAATAAAGTTGTCTCTGATTTTGTTGCTTCCAACCTAAGAGTGAAGACTGTTTTCTTCCACAGGCTTGCCTAAAGCAAAATAGCCTAGATAATATCATAAATACACAAGAAGTACAAATAGGACTCTGCAAGCGGATCAGTGGACTTCAAATCCTTTGGAACTTTTAAAGAATAGATTTCTGTGGAATAGGACTTCCATGTTTCCAGGTCAGACTGTTTTTTTTAAAAGATGTTTTTCTAATTTCTATTCAAGCTCTCATCCCAGAATAGCTAAAAATATTCTGCTAGTTAGTTAACAAGGATGACAGTGAAAATATTGTTTGGTCACCCAATTGAGATGAATGGGGCAGTTCTTCAGACCCATTTTTCTGTCCATCTATAGATGCAATGAGACAGCATTGCATCAGTTCATATTCTGAAACTTACTTTTATAAATTTGAAAGGCAAGATGCTGTCTTGTTTTTAAATGAATGCTTATTTAATGAAGAAACTGATGAGCCCATCAGAGATGTTCTGGTGTGGCATGCTGGTCAATATCCACTTATATCACCCCATACCTATTTCCTCCGCCCACCTTCTTTCCGAAAGTTCTCTGCATCAAAATTAGGCACATTCATTGCATTTTTAAATTGTTCATGTTTATATAATTTACCTTTAGCATACCTGTTGCAAATTATGCCACTTCAGTGATACTGTAATAAATTCTGTAGTGGGAGCTTGCATAGTTACAAAATGGCATAAGTAAACTGAGAAATTAAAGAATGATCCCTCACCACATGGGGGTGAGAAGAGGAAAGATGTAAGAGAATATACAGTAAATATAGCAAATTAAATGATGTGTGGGTTTTGGAATCCCCCCAGCATACCACCTTCCAGGCTTGTTAAGAAGATTTCAAGTCTATCCATAGTTTACACTGAAAATATATGCTTTTTTTTAAAAAAAAAAATCTTGTTTTCTAAGGTTTTAGTTTACAAATTCCTTAAACCACAGTATTTACCTTCTTCCCTCTTGTTCAAATTACAAGATATGAAAAAAAAAGTACTATTAGTTTCTCTGAACTAGCAAACTGAATTGTCCAGTGGGGCATGTTCTCAGACCAAAATCTTGTACATTTAAACAGAGAAAACTTTCAGAAACAATTATCTAAATATAACAAACAATAACGTTTGGATAAGTTTATTGCCTGCTTTCGGTGACTCAGTGCTCTGACTGAATTACAACACAGAGTCACTGAAAAGAAATCCTCTGCTTTTAAGTGAGTTTATACACATGAACAGATTACTCATTTCAAGATTGGAATCTTTCACATTGTATCTGAGGCACTTGTTCAGTCATTTTAGCCATTTAAATCATACCTCCGTGTTTATCTGCTACAAGGACATTTCTGCACACTTCAAGTTTTATTCTACAGCTAACAGCAAAGCTTATTATCTTCACATTTTAAAAAACGTTGCCCCCTTTCTTACATTTATGAATATTTTTTGGTTATCCATATTATTTGTACAAGATCCTATTTTGCCACTACAGCATGAAAATCAATTAACTACATTTAAAACCATTAAACTGAATAATAATACTTTGCACATCAGAAGATCTCAAAGCACTTCATGAACGTGTTTTACTGAACTAAAAGGCTTTTTTTTAAAAAATAGTCTTCAAATGTAACAACCAACAACAGAGAAAGACTCGTATCCTGGGAGCAACAGGGCAACAACCACACTGCACATACATTTTAATTACGAACTCTCATACGAAGGCCTCGAGAACCTTAACCAATATAACTAACAAGACAGGAACCAAAAAGAAACCACGACTCAAGACAAGTCCTAAAACTAGTGTAAACGCCCCCGAACCAGGTTAAATCAACCAGCCATCCAACAGCCGGAAATTAATCTTTGCTGCGCTACTTCAGCCACAACCACCAAACCCCGAAGCCAGAGCGCACAAAGTACTCGGGACCTGCTCGTGCTCCGTCCAGCCCCACTCAGTCTCCCACGGCTGGGCTCCTCCGCTCGCTCTGGCGTTTGCCGAGCTGCGCCTTTCCCCGCTCGTTCAGCGGGCACCCGAGTCCCGTCCGAGCCGGGCAAGCTCCCCTAGCCCTCGCTCCTCTCCAGCCCCGTGGGTGCAAACGGCACTGTCCGTGGCAGAGCCGGGCTCCATCCCTGGCGAGCCCCCTCCAGCTGCCCAGTGCCGTGGAGTGACTCAGCCCCCCAGCTGGAGAGGAGCTCGGAACAGCGCTGTCCCCGGGTTAGCCGGGCAGGGTGGCTGCTCGGAGCCAGGCGCAGGAGCCCCGGATACAAACTGCCCGAGGCAGTACAGCGCCCCGCGGCACCCGGGAGCGGGGTCTGGCCGCGCCCCGGGCTGCAAGTTCAACACGCCCCCAGCCGAGCCCCAAGCGGCTCGCTAGAGACCCGCCGGCGAAGCGGCGGCAGCTGGGCAGAGCCCGACCTGAGCCCCCGGGGCGGGAGGGAAGGCAGTGGCCGTGGGCTCCCGGGGACACTCACCCCATTTCTCGGTACTTGTCCCCAGCTGCGCCCGCAGCCTGCAGCCCCGCCGGGCCCCCGGGGTTCTCGCCTCTGTCCCCGGCGGGCGCGGGGCGAGTCCCAACTTCGCACATGCGGCCGCCGGCTGCTAGCGCGCTCAGCTCCTGCGCATCCCGGGCCGGCCGTGCCGGCGGCGGCGGCGGCAGCAGCAACTCTCCCGAGAGCCGGGCGGGCGGGCGGCGGCGGCGGCGGCGGCTTCTCCCTGTGCCCGCTCGGCGGCAGCCGTCCTGCTCCTCCTCCTCCTCCTCCTCCCCTTACATAACCTCCTCTCCCAGCGGCGGGGGCAGCCACCAGCCTCCCGCAGACCCCGCGCCGGGCAGGAGGCGGGAGCTGGGGGGTTCTCCCGGGAGCTCCCTCGCACCGCGGAGCCAGGGAAGGCGGCGGCGAGTCCCCACCTGCTTCGCGCAGCCGCCTCCCACTGGCAGGGCCACACGCTGCTGCCCGTGCTGCCCGCGCTCCCCCGGCAGCGGCCGGGCAGGGCGCCTTCCCCGGGACTCGGCAGGACTCCCCCTGCCGCCAAACATGCCCCTCCCCTGAGTCCTCACCCTGCCCGCTTAGTGCCTGGCGGATGTGGGCTTGGACCAAAGGAAACGGGGGCAAATCGACTCCAGAGCCGAACTTTGTGGGGGGAGCCCAGGCGGAGATCCGCCTAGGCCCATCCGTGGCCCCAGCACCCCAAGACTCTGGGTGAGATCCACTCTGCAGCCCTACGCGCCAGCTCCGCCATATGAGCCAACCCCGATCTCTGACCCCAGGGTTTGGAGCCTCCGCGAATGCCACCTGCTCCCACACACTCGGCTCCGTGCACCCCAACGTTTGGGAACGGTCCCCTCTGGTTCTGAACGTTGCGGCCTTTCCACGAGCTGTACCAACAGACACACCAAACTCCTGCAACCAAACACCACAGATTTGGGGGAAGTTTCAGCTCCATCTCTAAGCAGGCAGGTTGGTCTCTAAATTCAGGGAATGTGGTTTGAGCTGTGAAGACTATTCTCACAGATGGGGAAGCTAAAGTAGGTATAGGCTAAGTGCTTATTAATTAGTCAGTGAGTGACAAGAGCTGATACCATGGTCCAAATTGATCCTTCATGATCCTTCATCCAATTGCACTTATTTCCACTTGGCTCCAGGTTTCTGGAGTCCCACTAACAGTGATGACTCCCAGTCTTTCCGAGTTTTGCACAGCTCTAGCTGTGTCAATCCCTTCCTCTCTATATTTGTCCTTTCAGAGTGCTGTTGTGAGTTTGACTGTCATTTCATAATATAGTCTGATGAAATTGTGCCAAACTGTCATCAAGATGCAAAATCACAATATGATGATCTTTTGCAGGCCCTGAAACAGCTTTGGGATGGCTTGTGAGACACACAATCACCTTGTTAAAATCAAGACAGTCCCAAAAATACACAACCCTGCTTGAATTACCATTTACTAATTATATTATGCTAGATACTTTAATTACCTGTGTCTGTCTTTCTGTGACCATAATGTGACTTCTGTTCTCCAGTACTTGCCTCCCCATCACCACATAAACACACTACTGTCTATGAATTCCATAAATATATGTTCACTTTGCAAATGTAAGTTTGCAAATATGTTCTGAAGCTAATTTTCTCTGTTTATCCCACTTCCATTTTTTGTCACTGTGTTCCACACATACATTGTTGTTATGCTGGGGAAACAATGTGACAATTGGGTTTTAACTTCCCCTCTCATTCAAAATTACAATTGATTGGACAACTTAGATATACACTGTTGTCAAGAATGACTACCTTCAACATTTTATTACTGAACATTAATTTATATTTTTTTAAAAAAAAAAACAAAAACCTAAAGATTGGAGCTGTGGATAAATTATTTAAATTTACTTGGTTTGGTACTCTGTATGGTAGCTGTATTGTAAATGCTGATCTGGCATTAACTAGAAACCAAGCAGAGAAGAAAAATTTAGCCAATGACATAAGGAACAATGTCTCAACTGTACAAAACAAGGCTGACATTCCATCTAGGGGTACTAGTGATATCATAAACCACTCAAGTGAAACTTGAGTCATTTATTAATGTCATTAAAACCCTGTGATGGAATTACAGCCGTATAAGCCTCTTTCTAAGACGTTTCCAGCATTCAAAAAAATGGAAAAGGACATTTTTAAAAAATTTAAGAGCAAATTTTAAAAATGTCATGAAGATAAGCAGCTGTATCATTCTAAACTTCAGGATGGCTGTACTCCAAAGGATTTTCTCACTGTCATGAGATTTGTTATAATGACAGCCAAATGTACTACTGTAGATTTTAAGTTGTGTTTTACCAGTTTGCAAGGGCCAGATACTAAACTTGCTTGAAGGAGATTTAATAGGAAAGCCATACACCTCTTTATTTGACAGCTAAAGCCTAAAAACATCCTATCTCCTTTTCTGCACTCTCTCTTTTTCTCTTCATTCCCAATCTCAGATTAAAAGAAACCCTCTAGTTCCTCCTGGGTAATCAAGAAGACAGTATTAGACTTTTTAAATTCATCTTGGTATTCAGCTTTCACCACAGTTCAAGGTTAGGTTTGAGATTCTTGTCTCACAATTTATTTTTTAAACCTTCAACTCATATCCCTCCTGCCCTGAACAATCCTGCAGATGATAGAAGCAATGCAGTCATACACCCTCCCTATTCAAAGAGTTTGTTTCAGTGAACAGTTACACTTCATGGGCTACTGATATAAGTGGCTTAATGGGAACTTTTACAGATTTCCAATGGAATTCAGATTTATTAAAGTAGAGTAAGGCTTTACGTGTTTCACTATTAAAAGGAAACTGGAATTGCATTTGTCTTAATGTAAAATTATCACCTTTTCTAACCTGTCATCTCATACAATATAAGGTGTGAAGCTGGTACTACTGCACTACAGTAAAAAATGTAAAGGCCACACAAGCAAATTTAGCAAAGGGATGGGTGTGACAATATAACTGACTGGTGAGTGTGTTTTACAGGTGCCAATCTGTAGAGAATTCCTGGTGTGTTAGCCAAAAGGGCAGCCACTGCCAGGCCCTCTCAGAGGTCCAGAGAGGCTTGGGCCATTTCCAGCTTTTGAGGGCCCAGCCATAATAAAAATAAAAAATGACGACACATGAAAACAAAATAAGGCACCAAAAAAAGAGTGAGTCATAATTTGAATATTTTTTATTTTAAAAATGCTTTTCTAGCCTTTTTCTGTGCAAATGCACTAATTATTGAGGAAAAATCTAGCTTTCGTGCAATATCACAGTTGATATTAAGCATTGCGAGCCCATTCAAATGCTCTTGTCCCATAGTTGAACGGTGATAGTTCTTCACTTGCTTCAACACATTGAAGGTGTGTTCACCTGAAGCCACTGATGCAGGCACGCTGACAAAAATACACAACATGTAGCCAACCATATTTGAAATGTTCTGCTGTAAATAAGTAGCTTATCCACACTTGAAATGCTCTACTGTAAATAAGTAGCCTATTTACACCTGAAATGTTCTAAAGTAAATATGTAGCCTATCCACACTTGAAATATTCTACTGTAAATAAGTAGCTTATCTACACTTGAAATCTTCTACTGTATATATGTACATAAATGCTGAATGGTACACAAATGCTGGAAAGACTTAAAACAAATTAAGAACACAAAATGAAACAGTCAGACTAGTTATTATCCTTATCACTGAATCAAACCTCAAGCACACAAGGTATAATATAACAGGCTGAGCTGAAGACAAAGGGATGACATATACATAGTAAACACAGACACAGATACAGACAGAGGGATAACGTCAAAATTTCAAATTTGTGTGTCCTCACGAAACTCACCGTACAAGAGTTCCTCACAAATTTTCACCTTGAATCTGGGCCTATAGACTATGAAAGCCGATGATGATGGCCAAGCTACCAACCTAGGGCTCAACCTACCAACCAGTCACCTCTTTTAGCTACCATATGAAGATAATAATGAGGAATTCTCACACATAAATAATTCCTTAATCAACTAGATGCAAAACTATAAAGACACGAAAACGTAACAATTCTCTACCTTTCAACACACACTTGATCCAGCACCAGCCACTAGTAGTGGTTTGTTTATATAATCAGCTGATCTGAGAGGATACGGTCTAATCTTGTGTTCATCACGGTCTAATCTTGTGCCATCGGAACCAATATATTTTTATTAATAGTTATGAACATTTTAAACTCTTGAATATGGCAAAATCTATATCAGTTAACAAAAACATTATGTCTTTTACCAAATCACATCTCTTATTTGCTTAAATTTGCAGCTCTAAGATGAGAGAGCGTGTCACATTTTGGTCCGATAGGGATGCACATAAAAACAAGTTGCGAAACTTATCAAATGCCAAATAATTAACAAGTGTCTAAATTTGAGGCCCCCTTTGAGCTTGAGGCCCAGGCCAAATGGCCCTCCTGCCCCCCCCCGGCCCGATTGGCCCTGGCCATTACAAGTCATCATAATGGTAGCAAGTGTACTGTATATTACTGGGTTTGAGGAGACCTCCCCCACTATGAAGCTTTATTTGTGGTAAGAGTTCAGACCCCTCTTTTGGAAGAGATATAAAACTGTGGTTCTGACTTTTCAAAGGTCCAATGACACATATTGCTTGAGAGGGGAAATTAACTCCAGCATTCTGGCCAAATTTAAGTTTGGGATATTGCATTATCTTTCCCTGAAATTCTTTCTGTCATTCTAATTGGATAAAATATTCTTGCTTTCCTGTCCTAAACTGTCATATTGTAATTTTGCCCTGTAAAACACACAGAGTGAAATCCTGGCTCTATTGAAGTAAATGGCAAAACTCCCATTTATTTCAGTGGGGCTTGGATTTCACCTGAAATGTTTAACCCAGAGGTGGCTACATTTCAGTGCTGAATTAAATAATTTCTCTATATAGGGCCTAATCCTGCATCCCTTTACTCATCTGAATAGTCCTTAACTACATGAAGTTCCATTGACAAATTGCTTTCATGAGTAAAGACTACTCACATGAGGAGGAGTCTGCAGAATTGGGCCCATAGTTCTTAAAGCACTTTGGGATCTCTTGGAATAAGGACTATAAATCTGCTGTCATAATTAATTAGTTCCTCAGCTTTCACATAGGACACAAAATTTCTCTTCTGATACAGCTCCTATACAGGATGGAGATAATTCAGTCATGATATATTATTAATAAGAGTGTCCTTTACTACTGTGGCAAGATTCAAGAAAACTCCAAGTGCTGAAAAGTGGAGAAGCCCCCTGCACTATCCAACCTGTGAAACAAATTCATTCTATCAGTGTATCTGCAAATGGAAAGTAAAGTAACTATTGTTCCTGGGAGCCTGTAAAATATATTATTCCTGATTCCTGTAAACCAAGATAAATATGTCCTTCGCACAAGACTGTCCTAGCAAAAATAAGTATATGTAGTCAGTCTGCATTCCACAGAGCTCAAAGATGGCTCATCCCTTCCTACCTCTCTTTGTTTTACTCTCCTTTTTGTTTAGCTTTCGCTATTGCCATATTTTACTGTTTTGCTTTATTTTATTTTACTTCACATGTATATTTTTATGCCATAAAAGGTGCTGTTAAGACTTTTTAATCTATTTATGTATTTGTTTGGTGACAAATGTTCTCATTATTTCCCAAGATAAACAACTTAATATTAAATAAAATATTGTGTGCTTTCACTTTTTTTAAAAACTAGAGTTATAAGATTTGTATTTTTCACCATGTCAAGAGCCATGCCTTTTCTGATTTTTTGTGATGACAAATAACCAACCTTATTTATGATGTATAAATATGGCCTGAAAGATTTAGTCAAAAAGGTTTTGGTGAGGAGTTCTTGTGTTTTATGTCAGAAACTGAGTTCTTGTCTCCCCTAGAAGATTCTTTGGTGACTGAAGAACAAGTTAAATTACTACATCACAAGAAACAAAAGACTGAAAGCTAAGCAACTGAGAAAGAAAAGGATTTTAAATCAGATAGTTTTAAACACTTTGGTTTATGATTGGTTTTGTTAATATTTATTTAATCCAATGACTAATAAATATTTTGGACAAAGGATGTATTTGTTAAAGATTCAACAGTCTTGTCCTTTCAATTAAAACGTCAGAGCTCACACTAAACAGCTGAGACCTTCAATGAGTCCTATAGCAAAAGCAGAGAAAACCAGACCTGACATCCCAGAGATTTCTAAGGTAAAAACAAGCAGGAAAAAAACCACCCCACTTTAAAAAACAAACCAATTATTCAGGCCTACTATAAAAGGAAAATAAAATAAATAAATAAATAAATAAAAACCCTGTTTCTTAAAAGCCCTTTGCAGGTCATTCTTAAAAGAGCAAATTAAAGACTAATTGTGTTGTGAAATTTAATCTAATCTTTTTTTGTCAGAGTTCAGGGACCCTGGAGTAGAGATTGATTATTAATTGAGGAGATTCTTTCATTATTCTTCAGATCTTATCTTTTGTATAAAATCATCTGGCACCAGGCGTTTCCTGATTCAGAGTGCTACCACAAAGTGGTTTCCAGCTCTGTTCAAAAGATAATGTTGGAAAATGTACAAATATGCAAATATCAGCTCAAAGCAGTTTTATGTAAATATAAAGAACTACAGTCACCCCCTGGGGCCCTATGCATTTGCAGTGAAGGAAAATCTATGACCAAAAAAAAGTGAGCTCTTCAAAACAAAAAAAGACACACACACACACACACACACATAAAATAATCCAGTAAAGCCAGAATAATGCCAGATTGTCCAACACAGGTCTTTAAACCCTAGAGTGAAACTACACAGTACAGTGTTAGAGACTGCCAAAATATCTAATAATTCTAGTATAGTCAGAGAGCAGCTGTCAGCATTAATAAACAATTCAATACAGGTCTTCCAGGCATTCTCCATACTTTGGCCTGAAAGAAATCCAGACTAAATCATATCATAGAGTACATGCTGAACCTAGTAAGTCTGAAACTGGATTGCCACAATTTTCTCTACTGTTTTACTTTAAAAAAGATGCTACAGAAACGCCAGATACAATATTTTCAAATAGAGTTTTTATCGCTATGAAATGTATCCTCTTTTACGATAACATGAACATTGCTTAAGTTTTACTATTTGAACATTTGGGGAAGGTTGGGGGAAAAGGACCAGTTCTTCTGATCAAGATTCCTGACAAAATGAGAGCAAGCAAAGCATACTAAATGTGCAATATATCTACATATAAACAGTTCTACAATACACTGTTCCCGGTGCTGAAAAAATCAATAAAGAGCATTTTAAAAAGCGGTCCCCTACGTAGACAAAGCATTGTGCCTTGAACTTGACTGTCTCACTCTGCATGCGGTTTATGCTCATATGCCAGAGATGGGTGCACTACAGTACAGATAGATGAGGTCAGAGAGAGAGTTTCCGAGCTTCTTGTCAAGTCATTTCTTCTTTATAAGCTCTGTACAATGAAAAATTTGTTGTGTATCAATGTTACTGTTATGCTACTTTCCAAAGTCAGCAGAGAAGGCTGTTGGCATCTGAAAGTGAGTAGGCAAAACCAATAGGCAAAGACATGCTCTGAACCTATTTTTAAAGATACTATTGTATTTGACTCAGAAACAGGGGAGCCAATGCACTCCTGTCCTTGGCTATCCTGAGGAGCCTCCATGCAAGGGTAGTAATAAATATATTAACTATCAAATTCAGCTCTTTGTTTGTTCAACATCTGAAGTATCATTTGAAAGTACATAGTGTTTACCAAATTATTTGGTCCATCTTCAGATGTTGCTCCCAGAGGATTTTGATTCAAGGGTTAGTCTGAGTGCTTTGCATTTGAAATGACTCATGCAGCTCCTATTATTTCTTTCGTAACACAGGAATTGCCATAATGCCTCAGATCCATGGTCCAATTAGTCCAGTATTCTGTCTCTGGCAGTGGCACCTTCAGAGGAAGGTGCAAAAAACACCACAGTAGGTAGATGTGGCATAATCTGCCTCCATGAATGTCTCATCCTAATCCCTAATCATCAGAGATTAATTTGAAACCTGATACGTGAGATCTAATAACCTTCTTCAAAAAATCATTCAGATTAACTATTATAACACTAGAGTTTTTGATCCATATAAATGTCCAGTTCCTCTTTGAATATTGCTAAATACTTGGTCTCAACAACATAATGTGGCAGTGAGTTCCACAGTCTAATCATATGTTGTATAAAGGTATTTCCTTTTACCAGTTTTGAATTTTCCACCTTTTAATTTAATTGAATGTCCCCTTGTTCTTGTGTGTTGAGAACAGAAGCTCCTCATCTATCTTCTCTATACCATTCATTATTTTATATTCTTTTATCAATACTCCACTTTACCCATAGTCTCCTTTCTGAGGTAAACAATCCCAACCTTTTCAATCTCTCTTCATATGAGAGATTGTCCATGCCCCTACTCATTCTTGTCACCCTTCTCTGAACTCTAATTCTGCAACATTCTTTTTGAGATAGGGTGACTAGTACTGCACACTGTATGTCAGATGAGGTTGCAACACTGATCTATGTAATGGCATTATAATATTATCCATATTATTCTCCATTTGTTCCTTATGCTTCCTAACATCTTGCTTGCTTTTTTGACAACTACTTCACGTTGAGCAGAGGTCTTTATTGAGCTGTCCACAAGGATGCCCAGGTACTTCTCCTGAGTTGATACACTTAATTTAGAACCCTGTAAGGTGTATGAGTAGTTCAATTTTTTCCTCCCGAACATGAATTATTTCACATTTTATATTTTCATGTGTCATTTTTAAGCTGTCAGAATTTTTATTCTAAGTTTATTTTGGTTACTTTATTTTCAAATCCACAGAAATAGCCCCTCCACCCCCACCCCCCAAAAAGGTTACAGTTAGCATTTTGAGTTCCATTCTCAGTCATCTCAATTGTATAATCATGTGACTCCATTTACTTTAGAGGAAGTATTTCTGATTTACACCAATATAAGTTAGGGCAGAGTTAGACACTAGCTCTTCAGCTGGTGTAGTATAGTTTTCTTTTTAACTTAGTTGAGATCACATTTTTGGCCCTGTCAGAACAAACTGTATTATAAGTCAAAATCAAAATGTAACAGCCAATATATTCTGATGTTGTGTATTGTAAACAGACCCCTAGTATTGTGGAGTTACTGTGATGGTGTCAGAGCCAGGGCTACAAATAGAATTCATAGGACTGGACGGGACCTCAAGAAGTCATCTAATCCAGTCCCCTGCACTCAAGGCAG